TAATGTACGTAACTTAAATAAAACTTTTACATCTTTATTATGAGATCAACAATGACATATTTTTTCTATTGGAACAAAATATTATAATATAAATCAGTAATATTAAAAGTATTCACATACCATTATTTAATTTAAAATTTTAATTAAAAAATACAAAATCTGTCGCACGTCAGTTTAGCACACTGTGAAAGCAAAAAGAAAATAAAATTGAACAAACAAATATGATGATAAGTAACCTCATCCACATTGAAAAGTTAAAGTTTTGTATTATATATGTGTTTTATATATATAATCTCATATCAATTCGCTTGTGACAGAAGCAAAGAATGCCATTTTCTCGATAAGAGAAAGAGGAAATATAAAAAGCAACGGTGCCATAGTACTCCCACCAATGTATAAACATGTCGTGTGTGTGTTTACAAGAAGTGGGAGTTGCCCATTTGTTTCTCAATGTTTGTGGTGTGTCTTTTTCCAAAAAGTGAAATCATAATAAAAGAAGAGAAATGGGGAAATGGGAAAAAATCTGTTAGGCATTTGCTAAGTGATAGCTTTACACAAACAAAACAGCTGCCTACCATGGTCTTCGTCACGTATCTTTATTCAATTTGCTATTTTCTTAATTATTATTATTATCAAATTAAAATATTTTTAAAAAATAATGATATATAATACGGTTTTTTAAAATTTATAAATTTAAAAGAATAAACATTCCATTACATTAAATAAGATTAAATTAAAAGAGACAATTTTTTAAATACATAAATAAATTATGATTTTAAATCCAAAATTTAAATTAAGATCTAATTAAAAAAATTAAATGTTAAAAATCACAGGATATTAAAAAATAATTAACTATTAAAAATTCTTATTTAAGATAATTTTTTAAAAATGTTTAAAAATTTATGCTCTATTTTGTATACAAAGATAAATATTATTGTCTATTTTTTAATATTGTTTAAATTTTTTTATATTTAATATTCATTATATTTATTAATCAGATATTTAAGTTGTATGAGCGGAAATAGAATACAAATAAATATATAAAAAAATTATAATTAGAAATATTTTAGGGGGAAAAGTGGCAATAAATGATGAAGAGTGATAATGAATAATATGTGTAGATGTTATTTACTTATTTTAAAAAATATAAATGTACAAAAACAAAAAAAAATAACAGCCACAGAAAACCAAAATACGATATATATATATATATATATATATATATATATATTACGTTTTGTTGTAATGATTTAAGTTTAACATTAATCATTATCGTATTATCAGATAATGTTTCACACCAGAATGGAAGAAATCCAAGTAAATTATGTTTCCTTGTCAGGATAAAAAAAAACTAAAGGTTTTTAAATTTTAACAAAGGAAACATAAAAGAAAAAAGCTAACAAGTGGTTAGATCAAATCTTAATTATTAAGTCTAGAGAGAGACTTAAGATTAATGCGGAGTTTGAAATTTGTGTATAACAAAATTGAAGATATTAGTGAAAAATTTTAGACTACATTTATATTATTAAATTAAAAAAATTTAATAAATATGATTCATATTTTATATACACAAATATATTAATTTGAACATATTATAAATATTTAAAGTTTATACAAAAATATTCTTCGTAAAAGAATAAATATAATCTGAAAAAAAAAATTGGAGCAAAACAATCATAAAAGAAAGAACTAAGAACAGGTTGCAGTTGTACGAGTTGGCGGTGGGGCAACTTGTGTCGGAAATATTAGCAGCCCAAACTTGGCGCAATTATTGGCGAACATCCTTTGTGGCTCATTGTGATTGGTTGATTACACAATGATATGCTTCCACCACCACGACCCAGCTCAGCTGCATCAAAGACCAGACAAGCAACTCTTTGTTTATTAGTTAATTATGTGATTACACAATGATATCGTATTGTTTTCTCAATAAACATGTCAAAAATCATCGATAAATTCATAATTCAATGACACTAAGTTAAACTACTACATTAAAGTTTTATATTAACGATTAAAATTTTACTCTTTTCAATTTTGATTATTATATATGTCGAAGTTTTCGACACCAATTATAACGTGTATATTAGTAACTTAAAATTTTTATAATTTTAACTGTGTTTGTTGAATTTTAAAAGAAATGACTTGCGTGTACAATCCACGAATTAATTAGTATGCCTTTAGAAGTGTAAATAAAACGAATAGATATGTTTATTATTTTAAAATATTTTGTTAAGATAGAATAATTGAATTATATTCTATGAAAAAGTTAAATTATTATTATATTTAATAAAATTAATTAAAAATATGAAATTTAAATTATTATATTAATCATAAATTAAATAAAAATATGAATTGAACGTATAATAAATAAAAAACAATTTTAAATTGCTACTCTTTAGAATTATTTAGTTTTAATTTATTAAAAATTTATTAAATTTTTTTAATTTATTTAAAATTAAATATTTAACAACAAATTTTAATCTGTAAAATTATAAATTGTTTTCAAAAATAAATTACTTACTTAAAATATTTCATTCAAACACACTCACCAAATTTATGTTGAATATCTAAAAATGAAAACATTACTTCAAATCTAGAGTAGCTGATCAACAAGTTGAATAAAAATCTTTACGCCTACTAACTTATTTAATTAGTCATACTTTAATTCATTATAACGTGAGTCAACTAAAGATGAAAATAAAATACTCTATCAAACTTATATATTTTTTAAAAAAGTAAAACAATTAAAGTATATTTTTTAATTAAGAAATATTATAATTTTATAATTTTTATAATATTTAATAATTGTTTACAAGATTTTTATTTATTTGCATTTATAATTATTTTTAATTACGAGGCAAATGTAGGTTAACTCACTTTTTGGTTAGACTCTGCCCAGTTAGTCCACAATGTTACTTTTACTCAAATTTATATTATTTATTGAAATTAATAATATTTAACATTTGAGTTTATTTTTTAAAAAAATTTTAATTTTGACTAATTTTCTCTTTAATTTTTTAAGTGTACTAATTTACATTTTAGAAACATTTCAATAAAAGAATAATTAAACACTTAATGAAAGTTCATCATCGGAGCTTAATGTTAAAATTACAAAACTCAAAATTATCCTATTTAAATAATTAAGTTTAAGATTTGTGAATACATACTATTGCTTGTTGCTAAAAATAAAATCTAGAATGTTATTTTAATTTTTAAAATGTATTATTTATTAGTTTAGTGCTTTAAATATATATATATATATATATATATATATATATATATATATTTGGTTTACTTTCTAAAATTTGAAATTTATAGTTTTTATTTTTTTATCTAGTTGAGATTAATATTACCTTTTATGTAATATTAAAAAGCTAACGTAATGTTTTATTTTATTTTTCTAATCAAAAGAGCTAAACAGCTCAAAAAACCAAAACTAACTACTTAATCTATAATTACAAACATCGTTAAGCTAAAAAATAAAACTAAATAGGAAAGACTGTTATCAAAGTAAGAAATAGCTTCAGTAAAACTTTATCATAATAAAAAATGTCATTATAGTAGTCTTATGCACCACTTAAAGCTTGTGAGTAATTATGATATCATTTCTTTAAAATATTTTGCATGTCATTTTGAGATGAATTTCAGTGAAACTAAATGATTTTTAACCCATTCATATTTAATTGGGTTAATGTTATCTATTATGTAACATTAAAAGTTAACGTATATATATATCTTACTCAATTAATATAAAGATGTCACTGTAACTAGTTTATAATCGTCTTCAGCTGTATTTGTCTTCTTATACAAAAGTAGAAGAAACAAAAAAAGTAAAGACTTCACCAGCTCGGGGGGTTTGGAGAAAAGGGAGAAAAAGTAGCTTAACATCAAGTCTTACATATACATTCTAATTAATAATTTAAAAATAGCAAATTGTCATTATTTATCTAATTTCTTAAGATATATATATATATATATATATATATATACTATATATATATATATATATATATATATATACAAGTAAAAAAAATATTATTTAATTTTATACTATATTTCAGTTATATTAAATAACATATTATTTTATGCGCATTTCAGACAACTTATCAAATACCACAAATTACCCCATCATATAATCGTTATCTGAAAAGAAAAATTCTCACAATATAAGGCGTGAGAACATAAAAAGTGTGAAATTATTTTGTCTACAAAAATATTATTTTCTAAGAATAAGATACATTACATATTATTTTGCATAAAGATAAAAAGATATTTATATTAAGCTATTATTTTTCTATTAACTGAATAAATAGAAAATAAGATTGTGATTAAAAATTAAATAAAACTTAAAAAAACATGCATAAAGCTTAAGCAAATATATCTCATAAGTTATAATTAATTTTAATTAACAATAAAAACCATTTTAAGTAACTAACAACTTATTTAAATATTTATCTAACATATTATAAACGATATTAAATAAATTAATAACAAAAAAATTTAAAAATTTATATTGATGATCTTTTAGAACGCATATTTAATTTCACAACTATTATTTTTTGTTTTCCATATTAAAAAATATTATTAATAATTTCACTTACTGGACAATCGAAATATGATTTAATTACAAAATCAAAGCAGTCAATTAAGAATTGAAACACACAATGCGTTTAAAGTAAGAAACATTTGTGTAGACCAATAGACAGGGTTAAGGCATCTTTAAGGATAATTGGAAGTGACAAAAAGAGATTTAGGTGTAGAATAGTGAATAATATTTCACCCGCTAATCAATAATCATCTCGTGGAAATCACAGTGCACCTAATGGAGTGGGCGAATCGTCACGCAACAGGAAAAACCTTTGTTTGGTTGAAGAATAAGTGGGCCCCCAAATTCGTTGATCCAACGGTTAGTGGTGGCCCACTTGGGCCAAGCGATGATCCGGATTAATCAACACCTTCCTTATGTTATGTTCCTGACACATCTAACCGGAGAGAGGCTCGGTCCTATATTTATAAATAAATCTTCTTCTGCCACACCACACACCCATCTCACTCTCAAACACAAAACCCAATGGATCGTAGAAGTGTCCTTTCCTTAGCACTCATCTGCATTGTCGTCGCCGGCGTCGGAGGCCAGTCTCCGTCGGCCGCACCTACTAAATCTCCGGCTGTCACCACTCCTTCTACATCCCCGGCGACAGCCCCTTCCAAACCGAAATCGCCGGCGCCAGTTGCTTCTCCCAAATCATCTCCACCAGCTTCGTCCCCCAATGCTGCAACTGTAGCCCCCGTTTCGTCTCCAAAGGCGGCATCTCCAGCTCCGGCGGCCAATCCTCCGGCTTCACCACCACCTGCGGCGACACCTCCTGCTGTGACTCCAGTGAGCTCTCCACCAGCACCAGTTCCTGTGAGTTCCCCACCTGCTCCTGTTCCAGTGAGCTCGCCCCCAGCGAGCACTCCCCCTGCACCCGCACCCACAACTCCCGCACCCGTGGTAGCACCGAGCGCTGAGGTTCCCGCTCCGGCTCCTAAGTCTAAGAAGAAGACGAAGAAGGGTAAGAAGCACAGTGCTCCAGCACCTTCGCCGGCATTGCTTAGCCCTCCTGCGCCACCAGTAGGAGCTCCGGGATCCAGTGAGGATGCTTCATCTCCTGGGCCAGCGTCTTCTGAGAACGAGGTGCGTCCTTGTTTTGTTTCCTCTTTGTGCTTTTATGTTTTTACTGTTCGTACATTTTGCATTAGATCTACACTTCTTAAATGTAGTCTCAGATCTAAGGAGTGAACGAGACACTGAGTTGCTTAGTTTAGTTGACTTTGAGCGAGACATTGAACTAAAATGTTGTCTTGGTCTTGTGGTGTGGCCACGCGCCACTGTTGAGGTTGATTTGGTTACTTCTTTCTTTAAAGAATCTTTCTAGATTCTATTTCGAGAATGCGAGTGAGTGAACTTAGTAATTGCTCATAAAGAATAAAAGCCCGTGTTCTGCAGAGATGTAGCAAAACTCACCAAATATTTATGGCCCAAATTTACATTGTGTGTGTCCTAGTGAATGTGATCCAAGTCCAATAACATCTAAGAATTCAATTGTTGTCAGAATATATCATGCTTGGTCGTGGTAATTATTGATTATGTCTGTCTGTGACTGTGATTGTGACAAAGCAAATTACTAGCACATGAAAAATTATTTTGTTGTTGTGTATCTAACTCAAAGATACATAAAAGTTTATTTATCAAAATTTTTACTAAAAGTTACAGAATTAATATGATAATATTAAAAAAATCGTATGTAAAATATTAATATTGGGATCTGAAATTTCTGCGGCTTGTATATTGCAGAATGGAGCAGAAACCATCAGGTGCTTGAAGAAGGTGATAGGATGCTTAGCTTTGAGCTGGGCTACCCTTGTTTTGATGTTCTAGAGATGAGGCTTTCATTGCTGTTGTTACATAGTATTATTGTATCATTTATTTTCTTTTTTGGGCCTTGTCGGGGCTGACATTAAATTTATTTGCCATTGTTTCCTTCAAACTCTTATTACTTTATAATTGATGATGTTGCTATCATTACTATTATTTTTGTAGGGCTTGCCCTCTTGTTTTGCGTATGTTTTGTTTTACCTCGGGATTGCTTGAAAGGGCAAGCACCGACACAACGATGCCCTTCCATTTTTATTTGTGTTTTAGTTATGTTTCTGGTAAACTTTCTTTTCTAGTTTGGTTTAACGACTTCGGTTGAGAACTAATAGAGCTGTAGCATACACCCGCTCGAACAGTGATTATTTCGAGGGTGACTGTGACGTGTACCGATGATGTAATAAATAATTTTAAATTAATTAAAAATATATAAATACATTTTATATCACAGAAATGTTCAATTCGGCAAGTTTAGAAAAAAAAATTATTGAGTAAAAAGTTACTAAGGGACAGAAGAATAACCAGTATAAAATAATCTTTCTTATTAATGGTTCAATTTTTTCCATGAAAAATATTCAAATAATGTGCATTATTATTTCGTAAATATGTTGATTTAAAAAATGTCATTTAAGCCCCGTTTTGGGTTTAAGCTTAGGTTTGAAATTGAACTTTTAAGTTTTGTGTTGGCTATGCTTTTGTTCAGCGTTATATTTCAAATTTGTAATGACAGTTCTTCTATTTGAAAAATCGAACTCTTCAATTCTCAAGCTGTAGCTAGAGAATTTCAGTTCCAATAGGCAATAATTTCAATATTCATTTTACAACAAAAACACTTGTAGAAGAATAACTCAAACTTCTGCAATATGATATTTGATAACCATAACTACCTTTATCATAGTGATCGTCAATACCTTCGAGAGATAAAACAAAAAGGAGACAAAAATAAAAGATATAATTAATGACACAACGTGACAAGCACAAAAATGTTATAACCCACAAATGTCACCATCGCCTCAGTAACATTACCCGTTACCACTTCTATGAATGAGTTTCAGGCCTATATATAATACTGAAATAATTAACATCTATGAGCAAGCTACATATATTAACAATTTAATTAATGTAAGATCACAAAATTCAGTAATACAACACTTTTAACTATTTTATATGAATGTTATTGAATCAACCAAAATGAAGTGGCAACACCTTAAATGAATCATTTTGTGTTTGTTAAAATGAAGTGGCATCCTTTTCACTAACCAACGTCAGCACGTCTAGCTTTATTCCGCAATTTGTTTTTGTTTTCTTCGAGTAGAAGGTAGACCTAACTTTATCATTTAATTATGCCTCGTTTTTATGACATGCAATAACGGCTCAACCAATTTTCGGGCGCCAGCTTGCACGTTCAGTATTTTTGAGGTCCTAATGTAAAATGTTCCTTTCGTTGTAGTTGAGGTTGAGAATGAGAGAATTGAAGCAAATTTGCCTCACAGATTCAGAGATTCCCTTCCTCGGATGATGTATGGTGTTGTCAATTGACAAAGCCTCGTTTTGTATGACTTGTTTTGCTTGCCACAGAAAAGGGGTTGAGACCACCAAATTAAGGCCTTAGCACTCAACACCCAACGGTATTGTTTATTAGGAGGTCGCATGACATATAGCATGGATTACAAGTACTAAAAAGCATGTTCAGCTTTCACTATCAGATATATTTTTGTTCTCGTGTTTTCTCTGTAATTTCTTTACCTGCACTGCACCCATATGAACCTGTTATGCGGCTAGCCAGTGGTTACAAATTTATTAGTTGTGGGTTAATGTCTTTATCGGTTAAAGCCAAGACTAAAAGAGTGTTGTAGTTGATTTTTCTTTACGCACAAATCTATCTAAGCTCACATTTTATTTTATCTTTTACTTTTTCCTAGGTTTCCTTTGCTGGGAAGAAACGTTCAATGCCAAAATCGCACTCAACGAACTTACTTTTGAACCACCAAGGGCATCTGGTAAAATAGACATTCCGACTTGGATGACCATACCCGTGTAAAAGAAGAGTGGACAAATCTCCTTTGTATTGCTCGTATTTTAAAAAAGTTATTAAAATAATATCAATATAACTTTTAAAACATTATTAAAATAGAGGTATTCTCGTAAGAATGTCAATTTGACAGTTTTTTAACCACCAGAAATTTTTTGGCGGCTTTAAACGCGACAAATTTCTGATAACTTGCTTTTAAAAATTTATTTTAGTAAATCTCGGATAATTTTTACACTCATTGTCGGTTGACATAAGTTTGGTTAATAGCGCATTTTAACAGGCTGATAATAAAATAATGCAAATCGTTAATAAAATATATACAGTTCGTTAATCGAAATAAAAATAGTGAAAGTTAATGGTGTTCAAGAAGAATCATTTTCTGGCACAAGATAAATGAGCTTGTGAACAAACAGCGATCTGTGTCTACCGAATAGAGAGGCCAAGCGCGTGCTAGTTGTGGTAAGATATAAAGATATTCCTCCATCTCTGTTTCCTTAATTTATTGGTCCCAGATCAGGGCAGACAAATGAAATTGCACGACAGAGCTGTCTATGTTATTATTATAGTGAGTTATTAAATATCAAAATATTTATTGGTTGTTATAATATTTAAGTTTTAAAATGACAATTTATTAAATCGCAAGTTATCATTGTCTTCACTCTTCAACCACATCATATAATTTTATTATTACTAACTACTAATGATTAATGAATGGACTGATACATGAATGCAGATGATTGTTTCTTGGACAACATATTATAATAATAACACTCGCTAGCTAGAAAAAACATGAACAGAAAAAAAAAATTATGAACCAAGTAGAAAGCACCAGCTAAATAAAAATGTAAACATCACCCTGTGATTCACCGTTTATTTTGCAATAATCGCAAACAAAATTGAGTATGCAAATTATACAACTTCTACTAAAGAATTATTTCTATATACATCTATCAGGGTTTCGGTATATCATGATAGACTGCTTGATTTCTTGGAAACGAAAATCTTGATTAGTTGAGTGACCATGGTTGCATAAATTGCTCGTTTATAGACTGGAATATGCCAACCACACCAATCAGGCAAACGACTAAGCAGCAGTAGCACAAGCGAAGCTCATAATGGCTGAAGCTCCTGCTCTGGAACAGCTACATCAATTGGCTTGTACAAGTGCCTAGCTTGTTGTCTGTTTTTCCAAATTAAGAGTATTCCCAAGGCTGATACTCCTAGAAGCAATGTAAGCAAAACAGCTAAAGCCACAACCAAATAATATTGCTGCCACCAAGTCCTGCATCGTTGCAGAAAAATGTATTTAATGGTTATAGAAAAAAGACCTAACTGATTGCCGAGAAATAGAAAATTGAGGACGTTGAAGGTACACACACATGATAAAGTGATCGCAAAAATAGGTAACTAAAATAAAGAATGGGGAGAGAAAAAAAAATTGAATCAACAATTATGCAGGTAAGGTTAAATAGGATAATGACTTGTCTAAAAGAGCAGAGGTAATTTCCCCCCTTCATTTGTGTCCCAAAAGTTTCAGAGCATGATTTATGTCATTAAAAATATTCGCTTGACAAAAAAGTAAAATTATAAATATTTTCTCAATAAAGTAATAAAATTTTATGGTTCTAAAAGTAAGTATATTACATTAATATTTCCAAATAATTACACTTAATTTTACCTCTTGACAACCCACTGAATAACGCACAGAACATGTCAGACTACTGCAGAGTAAAGTCCAAAATATAAGGACACACATGGGTGAGAACATGAGAAATGATTATAGTTATTATTGTTAACAATATGGTTAAGATTGGAATTATTCAAATTTAATTTTGAAAATCTCTATATGGATGTATTATTGAGCAAAGATTAGTTGTTTTTATTTTTCATGTTCTTACTTGATGTGTTCAGTGCGTGCTCTCTCTCACACACACACACACAGAACAGCTGTATAAATGTATGAATATCTGTATATACAATACAAGTATGAAAAGGTATGCATGTGATTTCACAAAAAATCAGAGGAGGAAAGGAAAGCAAATAAACTCAAGAATGAATTTTAATAAATTAGTACATTAACTGAATGTGTAAAATTATGTACCTCAGTATTGCATTCCCCAGAAATAATAAAAACAAGAAGTTATGCAAGCACAACTAGTACACAATGGCACAAGACAAAATCTCCTGACTTCTTTTCCTTTAAAGAAAAAAATTACCGTTTCATCGAAGGCTCAAGATTCCAATCAAGTAACTTATAACTTCCAAATGTGCCAGGAAGTTGCATACGATGTTCAGAAACCCGGGCAATTATACTCTGTTACATTGAAAATCCTCATCAAATTGGCAGTCTGCATACATGCAAATGAACAAATTCAACTTACCATAGCAGTGGTGTTAGAAAAGAAATCTGCATATGGCCTTGGGGTTATGACCCATCTAGAGAGTGAACCATTTCCAAAGGAAGAAAAATTCATCAACTGAACCTGTGAGCATTCCAACCAAGAATGTTATTAGCATAAAGCAACAAAGCACATGAATACGGAAAAATTAACCAAAAATGCAGAGTGTTTTTTAGGTACTTTGGAAAGTAGTTAACATGACTAAGTCTAAAATCTAGGACCTCTACCTAAATCTCAATCCACACCAGCCATCTGAACAACCCAAGGTTATATATGAATCTTGTTAGTTAAACCCTTCTATTGCATCAAAACTATAAATTTTACTTAAATTTGTAACTGAGCAGCTGAATTTTCTGCACTTTAGTGAGCACTGCCTGACCTGTGAAGTATTAACATCTAACTCGTGAGCTATGAGTCCAGCCAAATCTGTAATGTAAGGCTTCATATCCATGTAGCTGATGTTAAATGAAATTACAATTATTATTTGAGCAATTTGGAGTTCACCTGCACATTTAAGTTGATGAAAGCAGATAAGTCATTAGTGAGCATATAAATTACAAAGAGATTCCACTAATTTCTGAAAAAAAGAAGAAGGAAAATGATGAATTTTTTTACGCAATGTGTAACACTCAATCCATGTTAAACATGATATCTCAGTATATACTCTAAAATAAAAATAGAATGCCAACAGCCCATAATACCTTCACGTAAAGTAAACTGTGATGCAGATGGAGCAATGGAAGGCTCAAATCCTTTGGTTAAATTAGTTCTTCCTAAAATTGGAGGCACTGGTGGTGGGGCATCAGTGACGTGTAGTCTTTCCCATAACTCAGAACAATTAGTTTTCCAGAAACCAATTTTTGTATGCTCACGATCATACATTACAAGAGTGTTACGGACAATAATACCTACACAAACAAAAAATATATAGGAATGATCAATAAAGTATTGCACAAACCCATAACTAGAAGCTAGCCTTCTAGCACAAAAGTTAGAGAGAAACAATAATCCAAATGAGGGCAAAGGATGAAATTGTATGAAGTTACCCACAGTAAATAAGTTACCTCCTAAAAGAGTAGTTTGATCCTTTCCATTTGAGAAAATCCCAAGACAATATGCACCTCGGGCTTTTGAATGCTTCATATAATACAGCCCCATGAAAAGTATGGATTAGGAAATCAATCAACCAATAGATACAGATAAATATTCTAATGATCTTCTTGCATAACTAACCCTAAACAAGTAGTTTTCTGGTGACAGTGACAACTTGTGACCATTTCCAAATACCATATCAACCACTGGAAAGCTTTTGGAGAGTTGAGACACATCACTGAAATACAAGTAAATGCAAAGCTTTTAATTAATCTGCAACGAATTCACTTCTTAATAATGCCACATACATACATTCCACCACCAGAAAAACATATATCTTTGTAATTTGGATCTGGACCACTGATTTGCTTCAAAGAGTGAAGTTCCTTCATAATCTGCAAACATGTAAATGCATAATCAGAGTCATCAATCATATATGATAAAATTTATATTGTAATGATACTCAATTTTATATTGCAAACAGGATAATTGATAAATGACATGTAATTATTAATAAAAGAAACTGACAATAATGATGAGAGAACAAAAAAGGATTCTCCAGTCATACATGGCACACATTTGACTGATCAAGTGAATTCTCTAATTCTATAAGCTGTTTAGGAGGACATCTATCAGAAATGAAGACTGAAATACAGTATGATAAATAGTAATTTAAAGCATTATCACTTAAGTGCTCCTAATACTACATCACATTTTAATTGGAAAACTCAGACCTTCCATAATTACAAAAATAGACACGCAAATGGAAGCAATTTTTTAAGAATTTAGATATCATAAAATAACCAATAACGAATCTGGCATACATATGCTGCTTATTTGACTACAGAAAATCTATGAGGATTCAGGGTACCTTTAGCCATGCTATTAAGAGATATCTGTTAAGAAAGGTTCAACAGTATTAAGTTTTTTTAATTGTACTGAAAAAGTAAAGTAACTTATGGAAGCATCAAAAGTAACTTTGGGAAGTGCATAGCTTAGAACCTCCAACTCCATTTATCACTAAGCCAGTCCAGAAACATGATTGTGAAGGGAATAGTATGTCAAAAGCAATGTCTGTATAATGGACATGATTCACTCCCAATAACAAGGAGAGGATGCTCCTCTATGTGCAATGGAGGAATCAAGGTTACCCCCAAAATCCTTAAAATTGAAAATTTTTCTTAACAAAAAAAATTAAAAAATTATGGTTCCTTCAACAATTTTATTCGAGGTCCACACCTAATAACAGGAGTGACAAGACTCATAATGTGGAAAAATGAGTCGAGGTTTTTTATAAAATAGGTGAGAGATAAAATTTGTAACTCAAAAAGCTTTCTACATTCATATTTATGAAAAAACTCTTACAGCATGTTTAAATGCAAGAAATGCAGCTTCTGGTAGGTATGCATAAGTTGTGCCACTATCCAAGACAGTTCCATGTTTCCCATCAAAAACCTTTGGGTTCAGATGCAATCGCTTCCCCGCAACATGTATCTCCTTCAAATTGATATTGTAATATGGACTGTCGCCATCCCAAAACTAGAGTAAATGTGTGAGATTAATCAAATGCATTTGTTAAGAAAATGCATGATATCTCATGTCTGTAAGATAAGGAATTCGACACACACCTTCGAACAGGATCTGAATGTGAAAAGACCATGCCAGCTGGGGCAGATATGCCACCAAGAACCATAGCACCCCCACCAACACCCATTCCACCATAGCACAGTGAGAATGAATCACTTATTACCTTTTTCTCAACCAGTTGATCCATTATGCTAAGATCTCCACGGCCCAAACCCATGATACCATCAGCACGTTGACGATAAATATCACCAGTCTCAACATTTTCACAGCCAAAAACAGCACGTTGGGGGGAAAGCTCACTATGATTTCCAAAGGAAACAACATCCTCGCCCAGGACCCCAATGCTAGTACTCTTTTCAGCATACCGTCTCTCATACATGCATTGCATCCTGCTATTGTCACAATTGCAATTCGATGTGCATTTTACAGGTTGATAGGTTTTTGACTCTTCTGGCTGGAACTTCGGATCCTGTTAAATAAAATTTGGCATACAAATCCACTCTACTTGAGATAAATCAGACCAGATACACATGCATGGCCACAACAAATTCTAAATAAAATTATTCTTTCTACATCTATTACAAGATTAAATAAACAATATTCAAGATGCAAGAGGCACAAGCAATCGACCGCACCACATTAAAGGAGTTCTTGGTAGATGGTAGAGTGAAAATGGGAAAAAGGAAAAAGGAGGAACAGAAAAGAAAGCAAGTATCTAGAGTTAGAGACTTGTGTCTGAGAGTGCATAGGCACGAACAAAAACCACAGTTACAAAGTATAAACCAAAACAATCACATAACACCTATACATGTATTTTCATTATAATTAGTCATATCCACAACCCAACAACAGCTCTTTTACACAAATTTAATAACCAAACAATATAACAATTAATTTATGGATCCGCACGTGTAGGTATAAAATTTACCTGATGTCTACCACAGTGTTGGCAAGTAGAGCACGGGACATACGTAACAGTACTCCCCGTATCAACAATAAGAGCAAACCTCTGTGGAGGAGTACCGATCCAAAGCCGCGTGGTATAGTATCTGTTGCATCGAAATTCCCAAAACACATAAATACCAAAAAGTGAAAAATCAGAAAAATTATTTTGGAAAGAAAAGGAAGTGAGGAGGTGAAAGAGGGTAACCCGTTTCGAAGGAGATCGTCGTAGAGTCTCATACGAGCATTAGGATGGCGTTTGGAGTGCGATCTCTGGAGTTGACGACGTGGATTGAAGTCGGATATGGAAGAATCGGGAACAGAGAAATGAAGAGGGAGAATCATGGCGAGACGAGAGTTCTCCTGATCACTTTGTAAGAGAAACACGTTGGTGGGAGCACTAGAAACATCCACACACCGCGTAAGGTGTAGAATTAGGGACAACAACACGATGGAGATGAGCTGAGACCATGCCCCCGCCATAACTCTCTCCCTCTCAAATCACAAAGAAGAAAGGAGGGAAGTCAAACGATTATGTGCCTCGAGCAACTGAAGAAGAAACATATCCATTTCCGTTTATTATTTATTTAAATTCTTGTTACTTGACTTGACTGTTGACCACGTTTAGAAACTTAAAGTTTAGATATTTTTAATAATTTTACATTATTGATTCTAATTATAAATAAATTTCAACTAAATTCGGAGTAAAGCCATCGCAGAAATATGTTTATAATAAAACTTTGTATCAAATTCTTAATCAAACATAGACTTATATTTTTGTACCAAAACAAAATACACCCTATATTTTTGTTTTCAGTAAATTGTGTTTTTTAAAATAAAATTAGTTCTAAAAATATCTAAACAAATAAATTTTTAAAAAATCATCTTAAAGTACCGTTAAAAATAAATCATAATTTTTTTTTTATCAACAACCATTGTTTCTTCAGACAAAGGAAAACCAAGAAAGCCCAAAGACTTCGATCTTAAGCAAGTTAACTTCATCCAATGCATTTCTTAGAGTGTTTTTTTTAAGGACTAAAAATACTAGTTAAGTTCTATAATTTTTAGAGTTCAGAATTTTGAAACAAGGTGTTTGGTTCCAATCTTATTACTAAAACAAGAATAAAATTTATATCAAGATTTTACATATTATTGTCATTAAATTATTAAATAATATTTAATGTTAAGAAACATGCACATTATTATTTAATCTGAAAAATTAACGATAACAAATTAAAACATTATATAAATTTGGTGACAGAGTATTTGGGTTGCTCCACTTATACATTAAAAATGGAGATGAATACTAGGGTTTTTTTTTTTTTTTGTCAAGGAATACTAGGTTCAAAGAAGGGAATGACAAGAAGAAGAAAAAAAGAGCAGATATGTTAAAAGTTAGGTACTGACAAACGAGAATACAATGGTTTACAGTTTTCAGCGGAACCCAGTATCGTGCATTGGCATCATTGGGCAAAATAAATTAAAAATTTTCGACCATAAAATCTGAGAATCACTATTCACAAATGCCTCTAAACAAAGATCCGGTGCCTACATTAACGAATAAACGGGTAAGCACAATGGCACACAGACTTCGGCAAAAACAGTACTGAATTTTCACATCATCGACACTTAAATTTTCAGGAGTCGAGGTTTGTTTTTTAAACTCATAATTCATTTTTTTCATTAACTTGGTTTTTTTATAGTTAATTATATGCACATAATATTTTATCTTAAAAAATCAGCATCTTTGTTATTACTTTTTTATAGAATTATCACACCAAGACTTTCGAAAATTATTTTTAATATTAGCCAATAGTCAGTATAAATTAGTTTTATTCTTACGTTTAATTGATAATGCACTTTGTTTCTGAATGACTCATACAATGCATTTGTAGGTTACATCCTTGATATAACAAAAAAAAAATAACGAATTATGCACAAATTATAATCAGCAAAATGCAAACAACAGTTCTTGTCTTCCAAGGCACACAATCCTTACAACAAATTAACAGGAATGCATTCTTACCACTCTATTCCACAATCTTCGATGCCAAAATTTGGAAGCAAGTAGCAGGTTCCATCCACAACCTAAAAAAGAATCCCAAATAGAAAGCATAGAGCGGGTCAGACACAACAATAACGGGAACTACTTGTCTAAACTTCGTAGTCTTAAAATGTGTCTCAACCACATTGTGTCGGAATATCCAATGCATATGCTTACAGCTCCATTATACATCGAAAGTTTTGACAGTAATACAGAAACATCTACTGTGAGTGGTTTCATAGAGTACGACAACTAATAATGTGCCACTGCCCCCTGCATCAAATTATAAGGTGTTACACAAAGAACTAGCATGAGTATGCCTAGAAAAATCGTGGCAAAAGTATTTGTGGCCCTCAGCGATATAGCATTTCCTAATCCATGGTTTTAAGGAATAAGAATTGACTGCTCAATCCTCGGTGCAGGCAACAGTCTTTGATCGAGTTAAACTTTGCCACGGTGAAAAGGTAATGGCCCTTGCAATTAGGTAAAGTACAAATGCAACATATGCAGCTGTTATTGCACACACTATAGTGGTGAACACCGCTCCAGTCACTTCAGCGGAGAAAAACTCCAGCAAAAGATAGCCATTTATCACTATGACCAGCGCAGCCACAAGCCAGGAAATAATCTGTATCCATATCATAAGACAATCATGAGTATTATACAATTAATCCAAACAAACTGAGCAGAATATTGAGCAAAAGGGCGTTAGCATAAATACATCCAATGTCCAGAGAAGCTATGGTTTAAGAACACTTACCTATAAGTAAAGCATCAAATAAACAACATTATCTAAGCATGTTCATCATATAAAGTAACAAGTAGCACCAATGCACCCAAACAAACAAAATGTGTGTGCAGGGGGGTGGGGGAACAAGAAAGGAAGCCTTGAAACTACTGACTTCAGAAAGCACATGTTACAAAGCATTAAATACACCACACTAATAAAATGCTTTGTAAAGATTAAATTTGAAGTAGTTGCTTATTTTACAAAAACTCCATAAAGAAGTGACAAAAATAAAAAACTATTTTTCTAAACTAAACATGTCTTAAATATTTCTAATTACTTAAAAAAGCAAGCATTAAATGACTTTTGTTGTGATTTTAACATATTAAATATTTTCTTTTTCAATACAAACTTTCTATTTTTGTCACACATTACATGAATAACAATAAATACCAAAAACGATAGAAGAATCTGTAGCTTTATTTTAACTACTAATAACTTAGGAAATAGTTGTTTAGAAGATAAAGGTCCTAAGGAAAAAAACATAGTGAAACCAGTTCAATAGACACTTCACCATCTCAACTCCTTTCAATTCTCAAGACAGGACAGTAAAATTAAGCCACAAATTTATCTTCTTAAATTATAACTCCAAATTGTATGAAAAATCAGGTATAACTTAGGTCTGTTTGAATTATCTCCTGCCTAAATAGCAAGCCATAAAAGGTCTACATCGGGACATTTTTGAATTATCTCTTCCAAGGTTTTCTTAATTGATAAGCCATATAGGAATATGCAGATAGCAATTTCATATCAAACAAAATGATCTAGCGTTTCAAAGTCTTTTATCAAATATATAAATTGAGACGGGCAATTGCTAAGTGGGTAGTGTGACCAAAATGCAGATAAAGGAATAACATACCTTGAGGACAGGGCCAATTTTGAAACTGCCCATTATTTGTTCTTTGGACACCAAGCAAAGCAAGGGAATGAGCGCAAAGGGGATTTGAACTGACTGGAGGACATTAAGCCATTCATTCAAAACATCTAATGATTCTTCTGAGGTATCGAATATAAGAGCAACTATCATGGTTGGGATGATTGCAAAACTCCGCGTAATTAGTGCCCTTATCCATTTTTTCAACTTTAAATTCAGAAAACCCCCCATGATAAATTGTCCAGCATAAGTACCAGTAATAGTACTACTCTGGCCCGCTGCTAATAACCCGATACCCCATATATATAGAATTGGAAATAGTCCACCCCCATACTTCTCCTGAAGGTACTGCCCTGCATTTACAAGACCAATGCTATTTGCTATTTCAGTACCATAAAAGCCCTTAGCAAACACAGTTGTGACAAATATATTAATGACAAAGGAGACTACAAGGGCAATGGTGGACTCTATAGAGTAGTAATTAAGAGCTTCTTGAACACGGCCTTTCTTGCTGGGGTCAATCTGCCTTGATTGAACAAGTGCCGAATGTAAGAATACATTATGAGGCATAATAATACAGCCGACAACCCCAACAGCTTGCTGTATAGTTCTGGAGCTAAGTTTAGGAACCAAAATACCTACAAAGATAAAATCGGAATCAGAGTACTAATCAGATATAACGCAAGGTCACACCAAAGAATTTACTCATGAACAAGCAAAATTTGCACACGTCAAAATCAACAAAACAAACTCCTTACCAAGAAGAACATCAACACCATCGGGCTTTGCTTCCCCAAACATCCACGCAAATGAGAGAGCCATTATACCAATCAGAACGGCAAAAAACGCTTCCAATTTCCTCACACCATAGTTCTCAAGGAAGAGAAAAATAAAACTGTAACAAGGCAGCTTAAAGAGAAGTTAATTTTTTAATTCGGAATACTATACATAGTTTAACAAGTGAAAATGTGACTCAATGATAGAACAGAAAAAGGCCTTATATCATGGATTCATCAATACTTCTCTGATTTTAAACTAAATACGAAATTGTCATAATTAATTTTTTTACTAAAAAAAACGGAGAAAAAAAAAGGGGAAATTTTAATTACCAATCTAAAGCTGTAATGACGACTCCAGCCCAGAGGGGCACAACATTGTTACTTAGAATTCTGATAGCAATAGCGCTCCCAATAACCTCTTGTATGTCAGAGCCAATAAGAGCCACCTCAGTCATCAACCAAAGCACAATCCTAGCCCACGTGGGATACTCCTCTCTGCAAAGTTCAGCCAAGTGTCTCCCAGTAGCCACGCCGAGCCGCGCTGAAAGAAGCTGAATAACAAGCCCCATAGCTGTAGCCCACATGAGGAGCCACAAGAGAGAGTACCCAGCAATGGCACCCGACTGAAGATCACCCTCCAGGTTCCCAGGGTCCAGGAAAGCGATGCTCATAAGAAAACCAGGGCCAGTGAAGAGCCAGAGCTTCTTCCATGAGAACGGCGGCGCCTGAGCCCACTCGTCAACGTCAGCCTCGTGTTCGTCGACTCCGACCACGACCACCTTCTCCGAGGAATCATAAGCGGTTTCTTCTTGGTCTTCGCCAGAGTCCGATAACAGAGGTTGTTGGTGTTCTTGAGGAGGCATAGTGTCAGACGGAGTGGGAGGGGGGGGGGGAGGAGTGGCGTTGTGGACACGCCGGCGTTTCCAACAGTTGAAGGTTAGAAAGTGGAAACCAGTCACTGTTTCAGACTAGTTTTAGCGTTTTGGTAAAGTGTCAGTGTGATGGCATTAAAATATAATAATAATCTGCTTTCTTGTTTATGATTAAAAGAAATAAGAATGAAAATGATTAGTAATTCAGTTGCACCCTATTTTCCCCCCATCCCTTTAATTATTGAGAGAATATATAAGTGTCTTCATCATGTTAATAAAAAAAAATAGTATTAATGTGTTATTTCTACAGTAATCTTCAGTATATGTTTGTCTTCATTCTTTATGTAGAATTTAGTGATCATATTTTTAATTGATATTCTTAAAATAGCTATTAAAAATCCTCTTTATTTTCTAAATTCTAATAAAATAATGCTTCTTACATTCTCGCGTGAGAGTACGTATGACTTCACTCGTGTGTACGTGCGGCTCAACTTGCGGATTGGTTCATATACACCCCGTGATAATATGATTCATGACTAGAAATATAAACTGTTTAAAACATCCGTTATAAATGAATTAAGCGCACGAACTGTTTGCTGAATTAAAAATAACAAATATTAATTAGTATCTTTAGATTCGGTAAACAGTGATTAAAAAAGTATAATAATACAACCATTTTTGTAAGTTTTATCAAAAAATTATTTTTAAATTAATATTCTTAAAGTATTTATAAACAAAACTTATTTTTGTGCATTTTATTAATTAACGAGTCTGCTTGAAAATTCACAGGCCACGAATTTTTGTGTGCCGATTTGTTTATCCGATCAACACAGTCCTGCTCATATAACGTTAGACTAGCATAAATGGGACTTATACAGTTAGATCGACTCACATACTATAATTACGTGTATATGGAATAAAAAAATATATCATTACGATATCTTTATTAGTATGTAAAATAAAAAAAATTATTAATATTAGCACGTAGACATCTTAATTTTAAAAAATATTATTTAAAAAATATTTTAAATCATTTCATCTTTTGTAACTATTTTATAACTTTTAAAATAAAATAAATGTTAATTTTAGCCTTTAAAAGTGAAGATAAAAAATTATAAATAATTCATTTTTTATTAAAAATATGTTTGTTTCATTGAGAACTAGTAATAAATATTTAATAAAAATAATAATATATTTTTAAAATAAATTTTAATGCACTGTTTAGTTTAAAATAAAAAATAGAGTTTTAATTAAAAATGCGATATATTTTATTTGATTTGCAAAAAGAAAGAAGGTAAAATAAATAAATTTATTAAAATATACTTAAAATTTTATTTAACTTCATTAATTTTATTAGTATAACATATTAAAATATCTTTATTTTTAATAAAATTTATGACATAAATTAATATTGTAAAATATATTAAATAAACACTTAAATAAATTATATGTTTAAACACACTTTTAAATTAATTAAATATAGTATTAAATTAAATTGACCAGTTAATTTATTAAAAAAATCATCTTTCATTTTTTAAAAAAAGTTAAATGGGCAACAATTTTTACCTTCTCCCTTTTTTATTTAAAATATTGAAGTAAACGTAAAAATATTATAAAAATTTCTTTATTCTTCTTATCTCCCCTCTAATTAAAGAATGCAATAGTTGAGATTAATAAAAAATTTATTAAATAAATAACAATTTTAAAATCAATGAACAACTAGCAGAATGTAACAACTATTTTTACTTTGTCTTTGTTTTTAAGCCATTTGACGAAAAACATATTCATATTTTTTGTAAAATTCATCCGTTCTTATTTTATTAGTCTATATAATTGTAAGTACTTCCACTATAATTATCACGTGGCATTTTTAAATCTATTGTTTCATTTATTTTGAGAATATTCAGTTTATACTTCTTTCATTTGTCATATTATTGACTTGTCATCTATTTTTTCTCTTAGTTTTAAAAATTGTTTAACTTTAAGCAAATAAAAATTGAAAGTGCACATAAATAAATAAATAAATCTGTGTATATATATATAGCCAATGCCAGCAGCCGTCCTGGACACACCCACGAGCTTCGCATGGCTTCACCGTTTAACTCTAAACAATTATTCTTCCTTTGGACTTGTTATATCGTGTTTTATTAATTTCTTTATACGACATTTGGACCTTTCTTCTTTAATATGTTTATTTATTAAAAGTATATAGAATATGATTCATATTTATAATTTAATATATTTTATTTATATTTAAAAATAAAATTAATAATTAATAATATATTAAAAAAATTATACTTTTTAGTTCAATTTATCATATTTATTCGATTTTAATCTCATTTCTTTTAATTATGTAATTTTAGTCTTTTTAATTTTTCAATTTAACAAACTTGTCCTTTTATTAAATTATAGTTGAATTGTCTTAAAAAAATTGAAAAATTTTCTTACACTTTTAGTTTTTAAACTATTATATTTATTTGATTTTAGTTTCATAAATATTTTAATTTAATAAATTTAATCTTCTAATTACTTTTTTTTTCTTGCCCTTTAAGACTTGATACTTGCACTTCACCTCCTTTTTTTTCTGTTAGTTTTTTAACATTTTCCTTTACTCCTTTTCTGTTGTATCACTTATATTTCTCACCATTATTTTGTTCGCTTCTACATCATTTTTATTTATCTTTTATTTTTTTTTAAAGACAAACTTTAATTATAAATTTGAACATTTTCTTTATTTTAAGAAGAAGGCATCTATTTATATAAGTTTGAAATGAAAATATGACATAACTTTAACGAAAGAAAGAGAATAAAGAAGAAGAAGAGAGAGAAAATTCTGTTGAAAAAAAAAAGAAAAAAAATTGTAAACCGTTAAAGTATCTTATATTGATTAGAAATAGGGGTTAATGACAGTCTTTCTCCTACAAACTATTTTTTGGGAGTGAAATTTCTTAACATAGACATTAACTTCAATTATAGGAGAGAACAAGAAGATCCCAATAAAATTTGTGTAATTAAAAATTAAAAACTAAAATAGCAAATACAATAATTGAAAGGTCAAAAGTATAAGTAAAAAGATCATAAAACTCTAATTAAAAATGAATGGACACTTTAAAAAAGCAAAATATTAAATTAAACAAATACAAAAACTCAAATTGCATAACTAAAAATAAGACACAGTAATAAAAATATTGGAAGTGCAATTTAACCTTAAAATTAAATGCTGTTACGGTCCAATGTCAGCGGGCTTTTGCGCTCGTGTGTGTTGGGGGAGGGAGTTACATATCTCTACAGGTTAGTAATTTGTTACTAAAATTTCACTCTACAATAATTTTGTCTAAAAACTTTAATTGGTGACTAATAATGTTTTATATTTAATTAAAATTTTGAATTTTCAATTTCTCGCTCTTTTTTTCTTTTTTCTTTTATCTCCTAGCACCTGTTATGAACCGTCACTTTACTCGCAAATCTGCTCTTCCATTTCGTTCACAAAAAAGTCTCTGCCCATACGAAGGGTGATGGAGAGACGTGTAATTTTATACTAATTTGATATCTCGAATTTTTTTTTTGGATATGTGTATTGTCATCTCTTTAATAGAAATATTAATAACATATTTCTTAATTAATTTTTAAAATATACTAACAATACAAGAAAAATTATTAAATTAAAAAAGTAGAATTTTATAATTTTCAACTGATAGTTAAAAATATTTTATAAAGGATATTAAATAATGTATTGCATGTTTTTTTTATTTGTTGCGTTATTTAAAAATTCAAGAAAATATTATATATATTTTTTAAATTAACTGTTATAATATTTTTAATATTTTAAATATTAAAGAGTATTAATATTTTTTAATTAAACCACTTACTTTATTATAAAATTATCTACAACGATCATTTTATGTATAAAAGAAGAAACCAAATTATAAAATTATGGAAGATTTTATTTTAATTTTTATTTCTTTAATAGTAACTCTTGCGTGTCGTTTTCGATTTGATGAAGTCTAGCTATATGGAATCATGGATATGGCTACAGGGTTGCATTTGTTGCAGGTGAAATTGCGACTAAGAAACAAACTAAATTCAACCGTTATAAAACCTAACTTCAACTCTTTTATATCCCTGTGGCAATACTGTTTCTGTTAATGTCAATTGTGAAGTTAAGGGGACATGTTTGTTTTGTTTTTGAATTATGTAAAAAATAAGCTGTGAAATTGGAATTCTAAAATCAATGTTAAGTTTATTGTTAAAACGTAGGACGTGTAATTTGAAAATATAATTAAGTATAGATCTCACGTTAAAAATTTATTTACATAGTAATAAAATTGTTTAGTCCAAGCAAATTTGACCACAAAACTAAATAAATTAAAAGGGTTGATTTGAGTTATTTTTTAAAAATTATTACTCTGTATTGTTACTAAGTTTAGAAAAGAATTTAAATTCTCTCATCAGAATTGGATGTTTTATTTTATTTAAAATACAAAAATATAAAAAATTTATACAAAATTCGTTTAAAATAAATTTAAAATTTTTACATCTCCATTCTCGTGTTCTTTTTTCCAATTTTACTTTTTTCGTATATTTAATTCTTTTTCTCCAACCACCCTCTTCATTGACCTCTCTCTCCTTTTTCTCTCCCACCCCACTCCCTCTTCCCTTCCCACACTCTCATCTAACACTTATACCTATTCATTCTCCTCATCTCTCAACCCCTCTTTCCGTACATCTTTCCGTACATCCACTCTCATTAACTTTTGTATATATATATTTTTTTTATATTTTTATTTAAGTGAATTAAATGTTCCGTTTATGTTATAACCAGAAAGCGTGTGAATATAGTTGAAAAGATACATTGTTTGATTGATTTGTTAATTATAATATTTTAAAATTTAATTTTATATTTAAATTAATTTTAATCTTTTTACTCATTCAAATTTTTGCATTAAAGTTAAATTAATTTGATCTATTTAAATATAAAATATGAGATAAATTTAAGTTTAAAATTTAAATTTAAAGCCTAAATATAAAGATTGTTATTTTTACTAGAGTATCTCAAATATGAGTTAAATAAATTGTTTTATAATCTTTATTTACAAACTTAATAAATCAACGGCTACTTTTTACTTTTAACTTTTTGAGTGGTGACTAAAAGTTAAAAATGACTTTGTTTATTATTATAATTCAAACCTTCAAATGTTTTTTAAATACGAAGTAATGACAATGTTTTAGTTAATATGAAGGAGTAGTTGATAACAATTTTTTTGTAAAAGCTTATTTACCATATAGATAACTCGTGTAATTTTGTAATGTGTGATTTTTACTTTTTAATAATTGA